AAGATTTCCTCCTGATAAGCACAAAGTTTGTTGCACAGAAGCAGATCAATGGCTTTGGCCATCCAAAAAACAATGGATGGGGTTGCGTTGTATGAAATTGTTGTGAAAGAGCCGACTATCGAATACACTGGTCAGGTTCCAGTTATTGTCTACAAACGTAGAACGTCTATCACATATATCCTCGTCCCAAGCTTTCATATATCTGTAAAATCTTTCAATATTCAGAAGACCATTATATATCATATCCACGTCGTCTTGAAAGTTCGAGCGTCAAACCGGAGGCAGAGATAAGGAGGAAAACACCTGTTTACCCAACAATGATTAACCTCTTCACTTTCCCTTGGCGCATATTGTTCGACTCTTATTCGAGTGCAATATCTCCATGCCAAGACTTTGAACCACTTTGCTGGAAGGGAAGGTCACACCCTCTTGAACCGCTGGCGGACTCAAAATGACTACAATACGACTGAAGGCAAAAGTAAGAACTCAATGTTCCGTGCTAGCGTGGTACGAACACATTAGAGGTTCAAAATGTCGTGAAACTCTTTCCAGATGGATGTCTTGCATGGTTATGATGTGGTGAAACATGTTAGTAGTGTCATATATTCATCGACGCAATTATTGGTTCGAAGTCGCTGTGGCTATGGGCATCAAATCAGCAGAAATATGGTGGTTGATGTTTTCTAGTATGATACAAGAAATTGAAGAATTTTTCTACATCAATGGAAAGTTTCAGCTGTACGGAATTGTTGTGAAATATCTGTAGGCGGATGAAACCCGCAGTAGGTACAGTCGTGATGGGAAAATTCAGAAACAACACCGATACAGTATTTTATGTAATTGTTTTGGAGACAATGCATGTGCAATACATACCTATTAACAGGGACTTTCAAACTGTAACGAATTATAAAGAATTATAGTAGATCACAACTATTTTTTATCATCGTTTCCCACTTGGCTATTGGCCTTTAGTCCTCAATTTACTCCAATAATCACGTCAAAGCTGTCAATGGTGTACACAATCTGAATATGAAAAAGAAACAGTGTGATTTTAATGTGATGGATTAAGTAGAATATTTTGGAAGATTGAGATAAGCGTAGAGGTTCCACGATGCAATTCGATTCTGATTATTCTGAAAAATTTATTGTAAATGAAAATGATACCATTTAAAAAAAAATTATAAGTAAAGAATATGAAAATGCTCTTGCTGAAAAAATTATCTTCTTTATTAGTGATTTTTGACAAAACATTTTTTTATCATAAAGGATTATACTAAGAAATATTTCGTTTTTTTGCAGTCACATACAGATGACACAATGATCTTTAATTCAGAATATATATAAAACTATATAAAATTTATTTTCTAACATTTTAATTAGACATATATATATATATTGAAGATTTTACTGCAATATGTATTTTTTTGAAATATATATTACTTTTAGCTCCATATATTGAATTTTACTGCAATGTGTATTTTTTTGACATATGTTATACTTTTAGCTCCATATATTGTGATATATTTTGTTGAAAATCAAATACTGATACTCAAAAAAAAATTCTAAAAATAATAATTTCATATCATGAAAATATTTTTTTAGAACATTAAAGCTATCATATTATATAATTAACATGTAAATGTTTTAATTAAACACATATACAATAATTTCTTTATCAATTGAATCTTTAATCTTTACAATTATGAAAATTCAATGTATTATCATCAATTTTTTTAGTGAAGGGCTAGTTATAACTCAGATTACACTAATTATCACTCACCCTAGGCCAATGTTCCCATGCTGTGCACTACTTCTCCCCTTGTCTTTCCATGATATCTATCAATCACAAAACTATGTATAGTAGGGTGAGGTATTATTAGCCCAAACTGAATGATAACCAGACGCTCACTTTTTTAATTGCATAGTATGAGCATTTTACCATTACTGATCTAAATAACAAGTTTTTAATATTATGTTTTGATTATTAAATTTGATTAATAAGCGTAATTTTTTTTGAATCTTGATGCTTTTCAAACCTAACTCCATGTTATTACAATTTTTTGGGATTGATGGAAATTATTTCATACGGATTAAATTGTACAATTAATCTTGATGAATTTACATTTCAATAAAATTTCATTGCTTCATGAGGTTATTGATCTAGCCAGGTGCAAGCTTATGAAATAGATTTACAATATTTACTGGTTAACTGTTGTGTAAAAACACATTTTCATTTAGTCATGATCTATCGGTTTATATTTTCTCGTTATTGAACATGAGTGTGGTGGCACTTTTGGACGCAAAATATTTCACACTGGTTCATTTGAAGATCATATGATATATCATTAGTATGTGATGTTTACAATGATGGGAGAGTACGTAGAATTAAAAGAATGACAATTATTGTATTATGCAGTGAACAGTTTAGGGGCAATTTTATGACTGATATCAACAAGTTGTGTCTCTATTGCAAACTTGGTGATGACTAATTTTGCTCGTTATATGAGGTTCTATTATCTTTTTTATTGGACCGAAAGTGTAAAAGAAGCAATTTAAATCTCCAAGTAATCAACATGTAGAGACTTCGTATCTTTGTTATCCTGATATTGAACTTAGATAGAGTTATGAATACAAGCTTTGGCATGGTTTGTTCTTAAGAGAGTGCGCCACAACACATCAGGAACCTACTAAGGTTCTTGTTGATGAGGTGGTAATGAGTAACGGTTATTTTAGTGTATTATAAAGTACGTAATAGGCAAGATCTCTTGCAAGAATATTAGGTCATGATACTCTCACATCAAAGCAATCACATCCGTGATTAAATCTCTCAGAATCGACAACACTGATGAAAAGGCTTTCAATCCAATCTCTTGACACAGTGAATTCATTCAATAATGATATATGTCACTTGTAAATAGTAGTGACATCGCAATGACGTTGAATATTGATTCTTAACTTGGAAGAAACTTACATAAGCAATGCATCCATTTCATCCTCCAAAAGCAATTCTATAAAACTTTACAGCCGCAAATCCTCAATTTAATAATCTTCCTGTGTCACGAGCAACTGACATCGGATGCGTTTATATCGAAAGAGCGAGTTCATTTTTTCATGTTAGACATGCTCTTTGTCGAAATAGAGGGCATGTATCTTAAAAATGTAAACCGTAGACTCTACGGATTACATTTACGGCGTAAATTTACAACTTTTCTACTTTACGGCGTAGAGTAGAAAAGTTGTGAGATACAGCCTTAACTTGTACTTACTCAAAATCGCATAAGTTGCTCATTGGGTCTTGGTACGTATGGGGGTTAAGATCAACTACTCTATTTGTAAAGAGGTTACAAGGACTCCTCACAGTAGTGACAGTAACCCTAGGTACCCATACATGTTATCAGTGGAAGATTTGTATCTGTATAGGTGATGTTTCTTCAAATCTTTTGATGATTTGAAGAAATATAGATTTCCCTGGATCAAATGAAAATGTCAGGTGGCGTAAGGCATGGCTTCTATCATCCGTTTACTCTCATCCTCGTAAGGATCGACGAGGTATCTGGGTTATATTGCTATTTACTTTTAAACTGGGCCGAGGCTATGTATTTCATCTTTTACTCTCTTAACCAATTTGAACGTGAGGCTTCCAGATGACAAGGGGTTCAGAAGATCTGAGGGAAGAGGAAATGATATGTACAGAGATGTCTGCAGATGATCCCGGAGATTCTGGCGCTGGGTGCGAGTCCTGGCACAGGACCTGCTAGCTTTCGCGATTCGGGAGCAGCCCGGTATGCAAACGGGTATGTAGATGAGGATCCGGCGGTTTTCCTGTGAGGACTGCATGCGTCTACATTCCAGCGCGAGTTGATCATTACAATAACAGAACACGACGAGCTGACCACGATATGGCCGTCAACGTCCGAGCGACGTTCATTTATGACGTGACGAGACAGTGAGCCCAGACTCTGGAAGGGAGCGGACCTAAAACGAGGGCGGGCACCAAAAGGGCAGAAGACGGGCAGCGAGGGGCGAATAAAGTGCAAGGGTCGCTCATTTATGACGCGACGAGTCAGTGAGCCCGGACTCTGGAAGGGAGGGGACCTAAAACGAGGCCGGGCAGCCGAGGAGAGAAGACGGGCAGCGAGGAGCGAATAAAGTGTGCAAGGAAGTATAGTTCCCGAGATAGAGAGAGAGATAGAGAGAGGGAGAGAGAGCGAGCTGAGCTGAACTGAACTGAGCTCGGCCTGCCTTAGAGCTTGCAAGCCCGCCTCTCGACTCATTCACTCACTCCTTCGCTCGCTCGCTCGCCCGCCGAGCAGGAAGTTCGTACCAAGGCCGCGGCCAGTGTCTAGATTACGTGTGGACTTGAGACGTTCGAAGTGCGTCGTCTGAACCACTGGGGATTTGATTTGTGGCAACAGTGGCCCAGCAGCGATCGTTAGCGGCTGTGGGTCTCGTACGCACATGGGCCTGTAATCCTAATGGGCGAGGACGAAGCAGCAGACTGTGTCGTGGGTGATGGAGACTTAGAGTTGGTGAGGAGCTGGGAGGTTGGTTGATTGGTTGGGTGAAATGTCAACACAGCGATTGCCTTGTTTAGATCTGTCACAAGTAGGAGGTTTGTGGGGGAATGGATGTTCTTCTGCAGTTGTGTCCGTCTTCTTCGGGAGCGCGAGGAGCTGTGTGTTTGTTCTTGCAGAAAAAAGGATCGTGGGATGATCACGATGTTGATGTCTGAGCGCCGTTGAAGTTAGTGCACGACATTTTCATACAAAGTCCAGAAGGACACCGCATACTCGAACTAGAGAGGCGGAACCCTGAAATCCGAGTGCTTAGGCATATTTCCTTTTGAGATGTCTCGGTTGCTCTTGGATCGAAACGATACACTTCCAAGTTCTGACGTTGTCAAACAAATTGGAACAGGTACACCACGCTGGACAGCGCAAGAGCTAATAAAACCTGTGTCGCCCAGTGGAGTTTGACAAAGAGGGAACGTGGTGCAGGCCATGTCAAAGCAACTTGAACCGCATGGCATCAAACTTGGACTCCGGTCGGACGATTGGGACATTAGACGAATGCATGTGGTTCCCACGAACTTGCCCGTGAGCCACATACCGTGTAGGGAACCCTGGAGCAAGTTGTCAGAAACTCAGAAACATTTCGTTCATCACTTTGCCCGAGCGTCATGGTCAGGATCTCGTATCTGCGCCCGTCAGATTTCAGAGGTCAGGACCTTACGCAGTTTGTTCACCCTCTCCTTGCTAACACCTAACACTTTGTCCATACTTCCTTCGTTCGTTTCAGGTCGCTTTTCTCATGCCTATACGTAACTCTTGACATGTGGATAAGCGCGGGGCCAATTCCCGTCGTTCAAACGCCATTTGATTGCAGACATATCAATTACACACGAATACACAGCCCGGCAATTCGGTTATTTTGCAGGAGTTCGTTCCTGATACCCGAGATTGCCCACGATCGTGGCTGTCTGAATTTCAGCTACCTTAAACCTCGAGGTGAATTAGATACCGTTGGTCGCAGCCATTGAACTGCCCTCATCATGCAATAATATCGCCTTCTGCGTTCTCTGAGACCTTCTATGTCTTTGTGAACGTTGGGACAATAATCCCGACCCACAACAAGGAGCTATGAAGACCTAGATACGCTCAACCAGCAGTATAGGTTCAAGCCCTGTTAAATATATGCCTTTGATCAGGAGTGAATCAAGTACACAAACTGTTGCCACTCAAATCAGTCGAGAGCAAACCGTGCAAATTGCTGTAACCACAATCACTGAATGTATGGAGGCGAATAAAACTGCTCTAACTATTTACTGACCCACACTCCTGCTCGACATGACAACACGTAATGACCCTCTAATTACTTCTGCTGATATGATCAAACCGCGAATGTGTGTCTAATACGAAGCGAAACGGCCACTGACGAGATTGAATTCTTAACAGTTCGGAATGCTCAATCCGAGAATTATTCGTATCAAGTTGTAGATTGTGATACGGCGCGCCTGACCTAGGTACCGGGATTGTGCGCAATTGGACTGCACAAATGCTACCTTGTGCACCTGTAGGACTCGTGAAATAACGAAGACGTTGCTAGGCTCATCTGACAATTGATGTAGCTCAACTTTACCGTTTGTGGCTACAGTGCTCTGCGACCCCATACATATGCACGACATTCATACAATTGACTTCACGCAAGACGTGAAGTGCGCTAACAGTAAGATTCATCTGGTAGAGCACCCAGCTGCCGATGGGAAGGATTTATGTTCGTGCAGGAGAATATAACTGACATTTTTTATTCGTACGTGTCGTTCATTTTTGAAGACACCCAAAGAGGTCTCAACAGCGAGTTTGTGTTTTTCAGGAGAGTCCAGATATACTGAGGCTCTTGATGTTACTGCTTTCGTCGACCGAAGTATCGGACTTGAAACGAAGGTGTCACGTTGCGAGGGTGACTCCAGAGGAATGGGACTTCTTCATCGCTTACGCCATATGTTTCTTGACCAATATGGGTACGTATGCTTCAGAAGACTCGAATCACTGACGGTAGGAATGATATATTGTGTTTGTCATTCTTTCCTCGATCATCGGGCAGCATGGTCGAATATCACGTCCAATGCCTCTCCTCGGTCTAAATTAGAGTCAGTCATTGTTCCGTAGAACACATGAGCGTGAAGAAGACCTCCGGCGGCACATTGCATTGCTCGTGCCTTATAAGGCCGGGTTATCTGAGTTGCACCAATGTTGGATGAACGAATGTTCGGAGCGTGGTTATTGCAGGAAATTACCTGGCGTTCGGAGACATGAAGATCGTCCCGGGCATACCCGAGCATCAACTGGAGGTCATCGTAGGCGTTTGCCCGCTACAGGTTGGACAATCTGAGTCGAGCTTAGCCTATTTAGACCCAAAAACTCGTCCTTCAACAACAGGCACGTGTTCCGCTAATTGTCAAAATATCGCAGCCTAAGAAGAGTAATTGTAGAAAAAGAAATATTTTCTGATCGAGTAATTCGATCAGCTTGTACCGTTGGAATTAGGGCACACCATGCATCTTGTAAGAGGTCCCCATCAATACAGCCGTTGCAGATGTCGCCTGTAGACTGTAGAGCATTGTAAACTTGTCGAAGTATCCACGAGTCGCAACTCTCCCCATGACAGCGACGTCCGCACTGAAGATATCATAGGCGGCACATGAAAGGTGAGAATTTCCCTGGCCGAAGCTTGTTAGCTGAACCGGCGACAGATATTATGAAGGGCCAGCGCAAAGAGTAATTGAGTACGCAGACCGTGAAAGCGTATCAGAGAGCGACGTACAAGGGCTTGTCACCAAGACACTTGAGCAATTCATGACTAGACTGTGATGAAAAATCAACCTAATTTTGCGAGTTTCTAGGCTAACTTGAAAGAGACTCCAGCTACTTACAACCTATCTTTCACCTGATCCAAATTTGAGCCTAAACATCAAGCTGACCAGCAACTGATATAACCATTCGAGCCCATCTCGCCAAGCAGTTGCATATACGCTAACTGGGACTTCAATAGGGTGCGACTGTAACGCAAGAAATCGGTTAACCTAGGAAAATAATAAAGAGTAGTCATTCTTGCTTGCATGATGTACAAGTATACGAAAGGTAAGTTCTTGTACACTAAAAAATCCTAATATGGTTCTAGCTGCTCCGATTTGCTTCGATTGAAAACAGCTGTCTTCCATGTATATAAATGAAATACCTGTGATAAGAGCTATTAGTCGTTGAAATTTGTCATCACACGCAAGCGATTTCTCAGCGTCTCCTTCAAAAGTTATCATAACAATCGTGAATAGAGGTTGGAATGCTCATTTTCCAAATAAAATGTGATCGCTGCAAGAAAATTATGGTAGCTTTCTTGTTTGTAGCTTAGTCCGTCTGTTATTTGATATTGTTCTTGCGTTAGAAATCTGTCGGAGAAAAATGCAGAAGCAGGACCTTTCAGCTCTGAAGTAACTCCGGTTTTAGCGGAGCACATCATTCTGATCTCCAAAACTTGGGTAACCTGCTCTCTCAGGTCAGACAAGTATGACCAATACTCGTTGAGCTAACTGATGATCAGACTTGCTAACGAAATGGCCATCAGCTGACATATCTGCTATGGAATGATGTGAGCCTATTGATGTGATCTCCACTTATTTATGGATTGTTTACGAGCTATCTTGGCTTGGAGATTTTCATGGAATTCTTCAGTTTATTACAGCTAATCAAGCACCTAGACATTCATGCATATTACTGTCGAGGTTCTTCTTATATCTCTTTAGCTCCAGAGGAATTATTAAATCATCTGTCCCAATCAAGGTATGGTTCGGTCAAGTTAAGATAGACAGAGTATCAACATGGAACAAATAGCTTCTCTGGACGTAAATTAGAACCCCTGTTCTAATTTATGGCTACTTTGGGTGGAAATACTAGAAAAGAGTGATTTTTATTCAGAGTCTGACTTGATGAGGGTGCGTTGATTGCGAGTTAGGAGAGCGAGTGTTTCAAGAAAAAATGCAGAATAACAAGACATTTCGCTAATCGTGGTCTTCGGACAAGCTATCGTAAAACCTATATGCTTGCCCCAGTAAAACCAGAACTGTTGTAGGTTGGTCAGTGTTTGCGACCTTTCTATTCCCTTTGAGTTGGCTGCACAGATTGTGAAAAATTTGGTACCAAAGAACCAGAAACTCAACAAAGGTTGCGGAGTAGCAGCAACCATGTTCCTTAAATAGTAGTCGGTAACATGAAGTTTAAGGCTTGGTTTACGGAAGATGCTTCGACATGGATTACACATGTTTTAATCCAAAAGTTGACTTCGGATTTTATATTAGCAGCTTATAATGGAATACCCTTCTTGAATCACGACACTATAACGTCCTCAGCAGAGCCTTGACTTTATCGTTGTCAGTGGACGATCAGTGCAATTTTTAAATAACCTACCCTTGAGTACCTCACATCATAAAATGCCATTATATGCTGTCTAATGAGGAATTTTGGCAGGTCATTAGACATGGAACTTCAGGATATATTAAAGGATTATTCACTATGTTGAAGCAGTCACATCATCATGGTGAGTATGGTTGTTTTCTTAGACAAAGAAGGTACTTTCTTTTCATCCTTTACAAACTGACAGAGTACCTTTCGAATTGCCTTAGACTCACCTGATGATAGGCGTGTACTTCAATCGTAACCGTGGCAAGTAATGTCTGAGAAACCACGTCAGATATGGAAAATTTATTTAAAGCCAATAGGAAATGTCAGCTTTCTGTGACCTGTAGTGACATCGCCCTCTATACCATGTCGTAGATGTAGTCTACTCTTCACTGCAGTAGACTGCAAGAACAATGTGATGTAGGCCCTCGATGAGTGATAAGCTTTTAGCTCTTTGGTACAGCTTTAATTTCCAGTTTTACCATAGACCTCCTTTCTTACCAGCATCAAGCACATGCTTTGTACGTAGTTGACGTCGGAAGCGATTAGTTCAATTGTTGTTCAGATACTTGAATGGATCTGAATTTAAAGTTCATTCTTCTGATGTATTTGAAGTAATTGACAGTTATCGCGACTTGGTAAGTATTACATATTCGTTCAACAGTGGATATCCAACCTTCTTGACTCAGGACATACATTAATTTACTGAATTTGCTTGAACAATCTACAGGATGAAAGAAAGAGGAGATTATTGGATCTGTGGGAGAAAACAAGGAAACGAATCTACTCTCTCTCACCCGGTGAGACGCTCATGACAACAGTGCCGAATCATGTAACTGTATGCAGCTGTCAATTTCCATGGTTTTTGAGTACAGAGAACTTTGGTTTCCTTATTAGCAATTTATCTTAGTCCGCAGCCATATATATATATATCTATATCTATATCTGCTGGGTGATAGACAACTATAATACTAGTTACTTCGCATTATGTGTTACGTTTTTAGGAAGTTTCAGTTACACATCCTGTGACAATGTATCGCGGTCCAGAGCTTATGCACACTACAGTTTGCAGCTATTTGGGGCAGAGTTTCATTCGTGAAATATATTGAGCAACCATTCATTCTGAAGAAGATGAGAGATGTGAGGACAATAGCATAGAATCCAGGAAATTAGACTCTTCACCCTCGCTTTTACTGCCGGACCGTGCTGAAAACACAAGTTCAGGGTAATCAATTTTGAGTACAGACTGAGGCTAGTGTTTAAATGAAATGATTTATAGCTCATGAAATTCAGAATCTTGAAAATGCGATTCTAGAACTTGCACATGAAGATTAAGTCTATACATTCCAATCAGTAAACTTTCTCTTGATTCGTTGATTCGTTGTACATTTCAATCAACGAACAACCTGCCTTGGCTGTAGCTGCGTGCAGGCCTGAAGTCTTAAGAAGGGCCGGTCTAAGATGTGACCATGCCAAGATACATGTACTTGAGGTTTGATTACCACTAAAGGTCGTTTCCTCTATACTTTTAGGAACCAAGCTTTCACAAAGTTTCAAGATCATACAAATTGAATTTCTGAATGTAATGGTCCTCAGTACGTAGGTACAGATCGTACCTCCTTTCATACAAATCGGCGCATCTACTCATTCTCACCGTGGAATTTGCTTGCACAGGTGAAAGACATCTTGGCATGCCACCAGATGGCGTTTCAGCGTATTATTCCGAAGATATGACGATGGAAGAAGTCCAACTTGTGTCGGTATAAGATCATATGTTCTAAACAAATAGTTACTTTGTATCTAAATATTTTTGGCAAGCATAAGCAATTAGAAATTGATCTAGTTTTATGCAACACAGAACGTGAAGAACTTGCTGTGCTGGATAGACGTCAAGTGAACTAGCTCATAAAAAACCACATGCCCCCACTGTTTTCAAGAAATGAAATTGATGAAACAAACTTGTTTCAGGATATGATGAAGGAAGTGGGAATAGAACCGTGGAACACTAGGATATGGAGAAGATCTGGCCGGGGAGAAAATGGTGAAATCCCGGAGTACGATCTTCGTATAGCTTCAGCCAAATGTCTTCCAACAAGGACTTACTATTTTGAGGTCTGTCCTCATTCACATCAACCAATGCCCTCGTTACTATTCTTGTATTACTTTGTGGCCCGAAGATTTTGTGACCATCAGAAATGGGAGTTACCTTCAGTAGTGATGTTTTTGTCAGGTCTGGCTGTTATCTGAACGGGCCAGATCTCATAGATTTCAGAACGAACAGAAGAAACACACATGTCTGGGTGTTTTATAATGATTAGGGACAACGTTTTGGACGAACAAAATTAACAAATGCTTCTGAGTTCGTACTAGACTGAGGAGAGCGTAATCAGACATAAGAACAATTGTTAGTGAAACCTGTAAATGAAGTCGTTGACGTGTTTCACTGTGACAATTTGTGGAATTCTGCTAGTCCAGTAACAGAAACAACTCTTGAAGAGCGCAGGAACGAAGTAGCACCTTCTCAGCCAGTGTTCAGCGAGATCTCACGTCAAATTGTGAACTCATAAACCGTTGGATATTGTTTTCAAAGACCGCTCCTTATTTTCAAATGATCATTCGCTTGAGAGACAATAGAAACATGTCCGGTGCCTGAAAAGATTCCGGGTATGGCGACAATAAACTACTGTTGTCTCGCCCTCGATTGTTTCAAATTCTTGGCTGTCCTTTTTAGACTTTCATCGTCGCAGGTCATCGTGTCCTCTGTTCTAGAAATTTACACTCTGTTAAAGGAGAAACATACTCTGCATTCAGAAAATCATTAATTTAAAGTTCACGCAGACGTGAATTTCTGATTAGTTTGTTCATTCACATGTTTTCTCGTAAAATTTCTCTTCATCGACGCTGTCTGAAAATCATCTAGCGTGTACTACTACGGATGTGACAAATTTGGCGATACTAAGTATACGTTTACATGGATTTCCCCTGATTCCGCGATGCATGCTGAAAGTGAGTTTTCTGCCATGTTCGAGGAGGTCTTGGAGTTGCGACAGTTGATTACGATGTAATCATCTGCCATTATAAGCAATTCACACTGATCCTATTATTCTTGAACGAAGTGAATTTCTGAACAGTTTGAGAAATATGTTGTTGTTGTGATTTACGTCCATTCGTCTTCTCTAATGTGCAGAACAAGTGCACAATTCATGTTGTGTTTGGGGACTTCAAAGATGACCTCAAAGAAGTGGTCATGCATTTGAAAAACGCACTACCTTATGCAGATACGGACGAACAACGGGAAATTGTCACCTGGTATGTTTTTCTTACGCTGAAAAGAAGCAGTTTTGAAGAGTACAAGCAAATGCGAGATGTTCAATTTCTTAATTTACTACAGGTAACATGCGGGTATATAATTGTATATACCAGAATTTAGAAACCTGTGAGTGAAATTTTTTTCACTTTGGTTCTTTGCTACACTATTAGCGAGGTTGGAAGCCTAGGTGCCATTAGGTCGAAACTGAGATATTTCGTTTATGGGGGAGCTGTCCAAAGCTGTCTACCGTTTAAGTTTCTTACATACACTGGGAGGCAAGTACCACCACGTTCCTGCCCATGTTAACAGATAGGTCACTACAACAACAATACCAATAATTGTACCTATTTCTCAATAACTAGGTATGCCGCTTAGAATTCAATGTCCAAATTGTCTATGATATCTACGTGACGTGAATACTTTCAGTTTTATCGACTACTTGGAGACAGGATCGATCGAATCCCACAAGCGGAGTCAAGTACTTTGGCTAAATCAGAAAGAGCCATCCATCGACGTTAATATTGGGTGAGTCACATATAGGCTTGGATGCTTTCAGGAAAATATCTTGTGATTGCGGACTTAGATCAACATCTTAGAGTAGCACTGAGCTGTCCTTCATTGTCGTAGGGTCTTCTAATGTATTTTGACTCACCTCGCTCAGTTGTATCGGCAGGCCAAAACAAAATCTTATAATAGCACTGATATGTGCTCAGGTTTTCTGGTTTACTATGTTGTTTTCATTTCGCTCAGGCAAATGAACATCCGAGCAATTTTTGGCATTTGAGTTTTAAGAGCAGGAACTTCTTTCCACTTGTGTAGCTTAAGAATTCGAAATCTTGATGTTCTGCATATCTTATCCTGTATGAATGGTTAAAATTAAATTACTTTGGCAGCAATTGGTATATGGAGCTTGAAACTAAATTTGGACTTTTACAATAATTTTGTACTGGCTTTCAAATGAAAATATGTCGTTCACTTTGCTACCCATATTTTCTTGCTGATTCGTAGTCTTTCTTTCTAGATTAAGGAAGCCTATCAGCGAGGACATCCATTCACATTCTAGCTTCTTATATGCACATGGATAGCTTACATACGAATATGACGACTGCTCGCTGATGGGTGATCGTGACGTGCATTCGACCAATCTCACCGACATATAGATCCAATTCGCCAGAAGAAACAATTGAATAGAATTGCTGTTTAAGATGCTAAATTCTGGATAACAATTTATAAGTGAATCTCTTGTTCTTATAAATCGTGGCTGCAAAGACAAGACATCACCGATCGATCCATCCGAAAGACAGTCGAAACTTTAATATCATCTACTGGGTTTGATTTCCTGCTTCAGATTCGTTGAGACATACCGCGACCCCCACGGTTCGAGAGCCGAGTTTGAAGGATATGTTGCAACAATAAACAAGGTACATGGCTTCCTTGATCGGGAAACCCTCATTCTTTGGTAGTCGCCGAGGTGCCAGTATCTTCCTTTCTTTCTCCTTCGAAATTGGATGTGGCTAGGATTGTCTATGTATGTTTGTATTTTACAATCTTGTTTGAACTGGAGGCTATCAAAGATACAATTTGCAGTCTGTCTAATACTGTGTATAGACATCTATAATACTAGTTCACAGACTGATCTCCAAAGTGAAACCTTATAGGCTGGCATCATTATTATTTTCTTGGAACATGGGTCGTGCACAGGACACAAATAGGACTACACCAGCAATGGTCCAGTCTAAGACAGCTTTTCCTTATCCTACAGGCTGCGAGCAAGCAATTTCTGGCCCTCACAGAAAGAGCTGACAAACTCTTGGCTCTATTACCTTGGCCAAAGGAATTTCATGGAGAGAAATTTCAATGTCCTGATTTCACCTGCTTCGAGGTAAGATGGTCACAGGCGTACTAGATAATTACAAGTAAATCGATCAATGGTCGCGGGGCTGATGTTTTTGAGGGATAATTTCTACTTTCTTCTGATATATAGCTGTGATGCTTACTTTCATGACTAGATCGTCGTCTATGCTAATGGCACAATTCCAACCGGCATTAACCTTCCGAATTATGAAGACGTCCGCGAGGTAAAATTCATGCCCTTTCCACTTGACATGGTATTAGGCAATTGCTACACCGGGTTTTGGTTGTGGTACATATATCTACGCTCTGAACCAAGACCAAATCGAGATCGAGAGACACATCACACCTGCTTATGATCGAATTATAGTGTGTCAATTGTGCTTTATTTGCATGATTCTTGAATGAGCCTTCTAATTCTGATCGCAATTCGTCGGATTTGATCACAGGCTCATGGGTCGAAGAACATTTGCCTTTCGAACGTACTAAATTCAGAGGACTACCGTACCCAGGTCAAGCGCATAATCCGGTCCGAATCCTATAAATTTACTAATCTTTATATTAGCCAAATTTTACTTCCAGTCTGATCTCAAGTCTTCAGGTGGAAATGAACACCGAGTCTACAGACATACGACAGTTTTGACTTTACGCACTGAGCAAGAAGTATTCGTCCGTGGACTTCATAATCATAGAACTAATGTAACGAAAATGTTTTTATCATAGAAAGATGCAACGAAGCTTTGTCCTACCTGCGAATATTATGCATCAAGCCGAATTTTAATCTTTGCTCACTTGCAGACATCCTTCTTATTGGACGAAGATGTACAAATCCTGAAGAGAACCAAGGGAGAAGTGTTCTTAATTCATTTAGCCTGCCACGAATTACTTGGTCATGGCTCTGGAAAACTCTTTACCAAAAGTAAGGAAGGTGAATACAATTTTCCACACGGAAAGGTAAGAACTATTTCTGAAAACTCGCGTTTCGTCTATCTCTGCAACAGTTAGTAAGTATAACACACTGTTCTGCATTGTCATATCTACTTTGTGAGTTACATCTCCTAGTAATCTTCAGTGACGACTCTGACCTCTTCTATATATATTCTTATTCTTATCCTTGCATTCAATGATACTGGTTTACACAATTGTTGGATCTCATGTATATAGCATTCACATGCATAGCCAGTTCTAGCGCTTGATCGTTTGTCTAGTAAACATGACGATGTCCCTTGTGGTTTCTTACTTTTACTTAAGCTTATGCTTACTCCCTATGCAGATCAGACATCCATTCACAGGCGAACCTGTTATAAATTGTTATGGGCCCGGTGACACGTGGAACTCGGTATTTGAAAACATCAGCTCAGCATTTGAAGAATGCCGTGCTGAATGTGTTGGATTATTCTTCAGCACACTACCTGAGGTGAACTGAACCTGAACTGGCACCCCTATACATCTATGCTTTTGCAAATTCCATAATAAATCATCTCTTGTCCACTTATTTCACCAATCAGTGAGCAGTTGAAGGTAAATCACCCCGATATTTGAATACAACCCTTTCCCCAGTTCGAGCAGTGAAACGGACAGTAGATCTACAAAAACTATACATCTATGCTTTTGCAAATTCCATAATAAATTATATCTTGTCCACTAATTTCACAAATCAGTGAGCAGTTGAAGGTAAATAACCCCGATATTCGAATTACAACCCTTACAGCAGTGAAACGGACAGTAGATATACAAAAACCACGCGTTGAGAACGTTAGTTTTATCAGTGTGATATGATTTGACACCAACGTGGATGAACTGTTTTCACGTCCCCCTTGACCATCTGTCTCACAACTTACTATGCTCGCAGACCATATTCAGCCTATATTATCCAGGAATCTGAATTTCAGATGAAGTAAGAGCATGATCATGATTAGCTTCAGATTAAAGTGTGCATATGCCGTTGATATGAAATGCAGACAGAATCAAAGAACCTTCAATATACTAGTCAGCACCAGTATCAATACCAGATTTATTTAACACTGTTACTTCCGTCTTGCTGGTAAAAACTGTGGTTTCTATCAAGAGCAAGGTTATTGCTAAAAAAGTTACTAACGTAGGCATTGTGGCATTTGCATCAACAGGCCCTGGAAACCTTTGGACATACTGGTCAGTATGCTGAAGACTTGATGTACCTCAACTGGTTGATAATGGTCAGTATCAAATACTATATTAATTGCTAGAGTGTTGTAGGCATGTTGTTAAACAACCAGGAGGAGGTTTCCCAATGTGCAAATTTCTTTACGGAACTATCAGTTTTCGTTGCGTTTTGTAAATGACTGATACTTTCGTATCATCTGCTCTACCAAATGTCTCTGCTATGGCAGGTTAGAGCTGGTTTTCTAGCTATTGAGTTTTATTCGGAGGACAAGGGTCATTGGCGACAAGCACATATGCAGGTAGCTGTTTTGCTTTCCGACTCTACCAAGCAGCTGAAATTCATGTATATGCCAATGCTCATTCTGATCGGCTTCCCGTCTCTCGCGTGTGAAGTTGGAGCCAGAGTTTTCTGTCCTGTCGCTCTGACTCTGTATTGACTTTCCCTGATAGCTTCTTCTGAATCATCCTGATTTTCAAATGTCACACAGTAGGCTGTTTGTTACGAGGCCTGGTTATCAATTTAACAGTAGTTTGTTTCAGGCAAGATTTGCAATACTACGGACCCTTCTTAGTGCTTCAGAACGGGATGCTGAAGAGGTTTTGGCAAAAGGCACAAGGGAGTCTGCACAAGGCAGCGAATTTTTAAAAATTGAACATCGTCGAAATCGAAGCGCAGTGATCCGCCTGAATCGGAAGAAGATTAGAAGTGTTGGTTTACCGGCAATTAGAGAGTTATTGATGAAATTGCAAGTGTATCGATCCACAGCAGATGCAGAGAAAGGTCGAGAATTTTTCACGGAGGTGAGTGCTACTACTTCCGTACATCACATACCAAAACTATGTGAATAGCCTGAAGTACTTCAAAGAGACTTGACACGCAGACTGAAACGTGGTGTTGGACGCAGTTGTCCTGGTCCAGAAGTTCCATCCAACTGTAAAACTAGGACTTGTAGAACTATCTAAGTTGCAATTTACTGTAAGTGACTTATGCATAATTGCAGATCTAAACATGTGGAGTTCTTTCTATACAGCTGACCACCATACCACGAAATTTGATGGAGTGGAGACGAATTGTGTTAGCAAACAAACGGGCTCGACCAATTTGTGTCCAAGTAAGCTTCAATGACGTGCTGTAGATTACACGTTCATCGAATAACAGTTTAAGCCCTGTATATAGGCTTCTGAACACTGCAGCATCTGAAGCTTGCGTACATTCTGTTGGCTGAGTCTGAGCCTGTAAAATATATCTCTCATCCGTGGTGATCCTGAGACATGTTGATTATATTTCTTTGTCCCGCAAACTTTCCGCTCAGGTGACAATTGTTTCTGTTAAATGGTCAAAAGCATTAGGTGCCTTCGGGGAATTCAAGATACGTTAGATTCTTAGGTGCTGCGGTACATGACCTCAGATTAGAATGGTAGAGGAATCGTGCACTTGACGAGCAATCAATTTCATCAACCTGACGAACACGATCGGAGCCAAGCTGTGATGTTCAATGTAGAGTTTCCAACCTCGTTATAAAGCTAATCATGTAAGTTTTTTTTTTCAGGTCCATACGAGACTAATAGAGGACAACGATGGAGAATCTCACGTCATTATGGAGGAATTTCCTGCTACTCCGCTTGGAATTATTGAATCTCATGTAGCGAGATTCAAAAACTGGGCCTTCGAGTGCTAGGCTTTATCTTAACAGTGTCGTGTCATTTTATACATAAGTCCAGGTCTTCACGTCGGAAAATAGACATTAGAGATACATACGAAGTTATATGCGCCAAAGTTCAAGGAGAGTTGTAGCAAATGAATGGCTAGAAATGAGTTATAGGCTAAAAACATTTGGTGGCGATTTATGTGGTCCAGGATCTCATAGAAATTCATTTGCTAAATGATCGAAAACCAAAGGTCTTAAGGCGAGTTTTTATGATCCATGGACCAACCAATCATGCCATGCTTTGATTAAGACACCATCCATCAACAGCGGGAAGTATAGCCAAGTGGGTGTCTTAATGTCAACCTTACATAAATAACTTCAACAGGAGAAATCCCTTGTAAAGCTTTTTGGGAAAAAAAACATAATTCCGAAATTGTTCGCCGAGCATCCTGGATTCACAGACCATGACGTATAGATTGGAGCAAAATGTGAAGAGGTTGTGATGATAAGTAGTGATCTATGTAATGAAAATAAGTTGAGAGTCTTCTTCCCGAAAGCATTCCATTGTGAGAATACTTTCCCGTTATTCCGACTGAATTTTGTCGACCCAAGTTCGGCGCAAGTAACAGGAAATTTATAAGGGTTTCGGTTATAGATGGTCGTGTATGACGACGCCTTTTGGTGATGGATGGTGACCGAAAGTTTGGTCTGGAATTGACTAAGTGCTGGATATGTTGTAGTGAAATAGTTATTACTCTGCGTTTCTTAAGTTCTCCATTGGCACGCGCAACATTATGAACAATGAAGTCTTGATGTAGCTGTAGAGGAGTGAGAAGGGCTGTTCTGAGTAAGTTTAGGTTTCGGAATCGACAAAGTGGGTGGAAGTATAGATACACGTTTAGTCTGGTTGTGGATCAAACAACATTCTTTTTCTTGTAATAACAAGAAATGTACCGTTGCTGCAACCTTGTTGGCAAGTACTTGTTGATGTGGGTGGGTCTGGCTTGTACATTCTATATAATTTAATTATGTACAAGAAGAGTTCATTGCTATAATATAGTCTGGAGAGTCCTGACCCTCAAGTAACCCTAACACATCTTGTGTTTATAGTGCATTGACACTTGATCGCTCATATCGGTTTACTATGACACTCTGGAAATAAGTTACGATTGCTATTACTTACAAATTTTGTCTTTTACACGGATAATATGGTGGTCTTGTAACAACGGGTTTTTGTTCTCCAAATGATTCACATGAGTTTTATATCTGGATGACACACAGGCATAATGATGGTAAATGATGTCAAGTGTGATATTGTCGTGTTTAGTGTCAAAGTTGGAAAATTAAGTATGACTATACAAATACTTAAACTTCAATTTAGGGCTAATGCTAGTATATATGTAAAAAAATAAAATGTCTTAGTTCTTGTATCAAAATTAACAAATGGCTAAAAATCAGGATGCGAAATGCTTAGCGAAGCTAGGGGTAATGCTATTGTATATGATATAAATATTGGATGGTGCAGGAAGAGAATGCTTCATGTATGATTAAAATGAATTACATTTATAGGTAAAGGTAATTGTATACTCAAACATAATGCATATGCATTAATTGACTCAACTCAAGACAATTGGGAAATGGTAAATGTGAGTATTTGGATGGTTTTTTACTTGAACTTCTCAGAAGGAGATGCTATTGGACCTATACTCATTAAAGTGTTAGAGAATGCTGCTATCTATGGATTTTCTTGAATTTTCTTCAAACAATTTGAAAATTGTTTCTATTAACAAATCTGGAAGCAAGGACTTGGTAACAAACTATTGAAGTATCATGGTGGGTAGTATTTTTGCTAAGTTATTTGGAAAATTGATGGAGTCATTACATACAATTAATGCATACAATCATATGCATATAGTATTACCTAATCCCTATACATACACTTTTGTTTTATGGCGTGTCATATACATCGTGTTTTACTAGTGTTGAAGATGATCTTGTGACTATTTGTAATTTATACTGGAGTTCAATTAAATAGATAGTAAGATGTATTAAGTTTATTGTAAATTTCTTCAATTAGTTGTTCAATTTATTATCCACACAAGTTATTTTGGATAATATGCAATTTTAAAAATGTTCAGACATAGGAAAATTTTTCAAGGCATAGGATTTTTAATGTATTGAATTATTTATGATCATTTTTTTAGTGTCAGATGATAATGATGTTTCAATTGCAGTTGATTCTACTTTGTTGATGGTTTGATTTTTTAAAATTTGTGCATCAAATCTTCTATAATAAAAATTATCTTAAAAATTAAAACATTAACATTGTCAAATAGGTTGATATATTCTACGATTATAATTATTTTTATTCATGTCTTGAAATAAATCTTGCATGAATTTTACTTTGATGATTGAAAGATTTTTTGTACAAAAAGTGGCATGCATCTAATGTTTTAATATTGAGGTTTAGCAAGAGTTTGAGTCATCAATCTTACATAAAAAAGAAGTATGTGTGAACTATAAGATTCATATTAAATTTATGAAAATGACCTTCAATTTGTAAAGAAACATGATGTTAGTGTTTATGAGTGATGAGCATGATAAATGTTTCAAATAATTTCATAAAGATAAATGTATTAAGAGAAATTCATTCCTTCATTAATTCAATTCATTCATTTTCATTCATTCATTTTACTGAATGAAACGAATGAATGTTTTTTTAAGTATATCAATATTTCATATAACTATAAAAATAAACATAAATTTTTAGGTTAATTGACTTGATTTTTTAATGATATTCATTAGCTTAGTTATAACTCTTAACATGTTTATTTGACTTGTTAAAAAAATCAAAATGCATTATCTCTTTATCATAAATCAATTCTAAATTTTATTTTCAATTTATTGATGACAATTTTTTAAAATTATATTTTATCGATATATATATTCTATTATATAGTGGTTCAAATTATGACATGTATTCATTTGTAACTAATATATCATTGCATTTGACATTTTGATTTTATAAAAATATTGATATTCACAACCTACAAAATATAATCGTTTTTATTTACTTCTCTTATTATTTTCAACAAAATTTCTTTATAAAACATGAGTCATTTAATTATAAGTCAAATGAACATCATATCTTTCTGAATAATATAATAACATTTTTTTATGACACTTTGTAATATAAATCTATCATAATTAAGTGATGTAATGTAAACTCATATTTATTAAAGTTGACTTAGATATTATTTATTTTTAATTAGTTTGACTTTGATTAGTTAGACTAATTAGCTAGTGTTGTCGTGTTGTCACCTAACTATTAGTTAAAGATGATAACATGATGATCAATTTCTAGTTTGTTGATAAAGAAATGAGTATAGATCCAGGATGAATTCAACTTCATGATGGTAAAAAAATGTTTGGATGGATTTTGGATTTATAATTGATAAGAATCCAAGATTTTAGAACTTAAGTTACATGAAACACACTTACTGAATGAATGTAAAGATCACTTAGGGAAAGTATAGAATACAAGCATTCGTATGTGCTATTGTTTATATTTCTTCTGATGAATATTGGATGTTTCCATAAATACTACTTTTGGGTTTTAATCACATATAATTTCTTTGATATTTTTATATCACAAGTAATAAATTTATTGGTTTTCATTACTCAATTCATTTTTTTTAGAATGTAGTTTGCAACTTGATAATAAAATGGTAATGGTAAATAGATCAAGCTTGTGGGACCCAAAAGGTCAAGAGGCTGAAAAGCACAATACAAACAATCCAACTCCAACTCCAACCTAGGAGAGAACCAAAAGAACTCCATAACTAGTGTCAAGAGCACTAGAACAAAAACTGATAAAATGCCTAATGTAACAACCTAAATCATAACGCTCAAGCTGAAGCAAAGAATAAAAATTCTTAACAACAACTTTATGAGCCATTATAATCTCTATATATCTAGTACAAGTAACAAACACATGCTCTTCATTCTCAACTTTTCTTCCATCACATAGCCTACAAAAACGTTCACTTCTATCAATGTTCAACCAACGTCCCTCTTCAATCCCAAGACTATGAGATCATGTTCTATGCCTAGCAATAATATGACGTAAAGATTTAAAGATCTCTGCAAGTAAGTATACCTGCTCACAATAAACAAGCATAGGATTCACATGGAGTTGATAAAACTTCATTCTAGTGCCTCGTCTATTCCAAAGAATGCTAAGAAATTACTCCTTGATACGCTTGCAAAGGGTCATAGGTTGCAAATCCCAATCGAGTTCCGTCACATTTCACCTCAAAGACCAAATCACCACATCTGCAAACCATCTCTTGGGACGTGTGACACACAAAGCTTCAAGAGTAAGTCGAGAAGCATCAAGAGATCTCACTCTTTTGATGTAAGTAATAGTCAAGAAGAGAGCTTCAGCCTCAAGAGTTAAACTACCTGTTTCCGCAAGAAGAATATCATATGAAGTTTGGGTATTCACACCCAATTCTTCTTGTAAGAAGATCTTTTGCACCCTCTCCAAACTCAACCAACTTGTCTTCTTACAACTAGGACCCCACACTTGTGTTCCATATTAGATAACGGGAAACACTAAGCTCCTGAATAAAAATTTCTTAAGACTCCAAGACACTAGATGAACTCATCTACATGTATTCAGCAATGAATATAGAGCTTTGAAACCAAATTCTACCCTCTTTTGCACAGAAAGTGCCCAATTATAATCGTAGGAGAAATCAATGCCTAAATATTTGTAACTCTTCACTTGTTCCAACTCTAATGCTTTGTAAAAGAAAGAAAGCTTGGATCTAGTGCCCACAATGATTTTGACTTCTCCAAATTGACCTCCATCTGATTTTTGGGTACAAAAGCTAGCCAAAGTTTCTAGGTGTTTCTGTAAACTTATGACATCATGTGCTAGCAATATGACATCATCTGCATACAAAAGAGCTTTGATGACAAAGCCTCCAAGTTTGACACCTTCACTATCACAATCCTCTAACCACCTTTCTATATCATCTATGAAAACCTAAAAGAGAGTAGGAGACAGAGGACAACCTTGAATAACTTCATTGGTACTCAAAATCTCTTCAATTTGAAAAGTGTTGATCTTGGCCCGAACGGAGTGGTATAATGTGCCCACCGCTACTAAGAGATCTGATGGTACTCCAATGGTTTGCAATCCTTCCCATAAATGCTCACGAGGTACTGTGTCTAAAGCTTTCTTGAAATCAATGAAGACACAAAACAAAGCTTATCCATGACCCTTGAATTTCTCCCATAAAACACGCAAAACCAAGATATGGTCTATAGTGTTGAATGTAGGACAAAAACTAGCTTGAAACCGCGCTCTCTCCTGACAAGATTTAGCCCATGTGCTTAACTTTGACTTCACCAATTTGCCAAATAACTTGGCAAAAATACTACCCATCAAG